ATATATATATATATATATATATATATATATATATATATATATATATATTTATATATATTTAAAATTCTTGGCCTTTATCTTGAAACTCTTGACCTTGTACTTAAAACCTTTTGCCTTGGTCTTTACCTTGAAACATTTGGTCTTGGACTTGCTATTTTTGGCCTTGTTAACAAATCTGAGTTTATTTTGGGTTAAACCATAACCCAATTCACCAAGTGATTGAAATGCATTCATCGTCATTTTTTCTGTTTCATTTGAGAGTACCATATTGTACATGAGCCATGGAAGCATTTACTGTTGTTATTTTTGCGATCTCTGAGTGTCGAGGTAGAACGCCGTGTTTGAATGCAGCATTTTCAGTGATGTATTATTTTCTTTTAAATCAGTTGACATTTTTAGTTGACATCATGAAGTAAGAGAGTTGATTTGAATTGAGTGAGTGATAATTATGTTGACAAATAACATTATAACTCATTTTTAATTAAACCGTAATTAACTAAGGTTAATTAAGTTAATTAGATAAAAATAGGTGCTTAGTCACTTGCGAAAAACTAATTAATTAATTAATCGAGTATGCGGTTTTATCATATAAGTTCAAAAAAAAAACTTTTTTAATTAAATTTAAGTTCAAGTTGCATAAAAGTTATACCAACGGAATGGAAATTAAATTTTCAACAAGATATCAGTTTCGGATGAAGCACTATTTTGTTCGCAACGATAAGAAATACATAAACATTTTTGACTCCCCGTTAAAGTTGTATAAAATATGAAAAAATGGAATTGAATCAGCATTTAATTTAATCAATTCTAATCGAGGAGATAACTCTGTATGTGTATCTTTTTTTTTTTTAATAATCATATTCGTTCAGTTTTTATTTGATAATTTTGATCAATGTGTGGAATGATATGGTGTGCGGTTTGACCCGGTTTTACTCTATGTTTTATGCGGTAAAAAAAAGTTGTTTTTTGCGGCTTTTAATGAAAAATTTTAAAATTTTTTCAAAGCAATTTTTTGATTTAATGAAGTAATTTATGTGATTTATAACGTAATCATGAATAATTGCAATACTTTTGATGAAGAAGCAACAATTGCCACCTTATCTCAAAAATATAAAAAATATGTAGTTGTTTCTATGCAGGAGGCCTTGCAAAAATTTTCGAAAATCCTTATCAGTTTATGCTGCCTCCAAAAAGTATGACATAACTGAAAGAACAATTAGTTGGCATACCCTGGAATCTAGTAATAGAGCGGCAACAATTGCTCCAGTCAGCAGAATTGAGTTTTTAACAATACTTTAATTTTTTAAGAAGGAATGGTTTACTACATGTCCTTGATCGTCCATAAGCTTTTTACACTATTGATGAGGCATATTAAATCCAAGTTTGAAGAGAGTTCTCTCAAATAAAGGTACGAAAACAGTTTAAGTTAATTCCTTAAAGTTAATTCCCAAAAGCCTAAAGAAAACATTATTGTCTGCTATTGCTTTAAAGCTCGTGGTTTTATATTTAAAAGCCAGATTATTTTAAAAGAAAAGTTCACACGAATGGAAGATCTTGCATATGCTTCTGGAACTGTCAATGGCAATTTTTTGTTCACTTGAACTGAATCTGGATAACAAAGCCAACGCTCCTTTAAAGATTATATTCAAAGTATTGACGACAAATTAAATAATGTTGCACGTCCTGTTTTTATATTCTTATATCCAAGTCACATTGATTTTCATTTATTTAAATGGTGCAAGGATCGGGGAATTTGCATAGTGTCTTTTGCTCCAACATGTACTCACATTCTTCAAATGTGTGATGCATCAATTTTAGTTTTAGGACCAGCCAAATTAGGATGGAAAAAGGAAGTTAATAATTGAAAAAGTAAAAATGGTTGTAAGGAGGTTGATGAGATTAAGTTAATAAAAGTTTTAAAACTGATGAATGATAGAATTATTACAAAATCAAAAAGAAGTTAAAAGGTTTCCGTGGCATAAGCATTTTTCTACTCAATATTGAGAATGTTCATCTTGAGCGGTTTATTGGAGCAGATAATGATTATCAATCTGCTTCCAATTTAGATGCACAAGTAACTTCTGAATGTTTTAAAATTCCTACTTTTTCAAACGCAGCTTCATTTAGTAAAAACATTATCAGTAATGATCTAATTGCTCCTGTTCAAGGTAATCAGGTTGTCAGTATAAATAAAATGGTTTATTTTTTTAAATAAATATTTTTACCTTGATTTTTTCATGTAGAATCTTCTTGTGTACCAATTGATAAGCTATTCTTCATTACGTCTCGAAAATAACGGAAAGTAAAGAGCCATTGCATTATCTTTTGAGCTACACCCTTGATTACAATGTTCTGAATTCTTTGAATTATGAAGTTTTGAGTTATGAAGCAGCAGTTTGATATACTTTTATCAGCATTTCATAATGAAATGGCAGTTCCAGTTTCCTCAACTTAATTCAGGATGTGCTTAAACCTCCAGAAACAGTTGTAGGTAAAACAAATAAAAAATACAAGAAAATTAATAACGGAATTTTTCCGAGTAACGAAGTTTTGGAAATGTATATAAAAAAAAACAAACGAAGGAAAGAAAAAAAAAAGGAAAAGAAAAAAAAGAAAGGAAAAAGGTTTGTGAAAAACGAATAATAATACAAAAGAAGATGAAAAAAAATATAGATGGAAAAAGCGTAAAAAAGATTTAAGTCATCTGCATTTTTTTAAAATAAAGCAAAAAATATTTCTTTTTACCGCAAATAGCAGATTTCATACCGTAAAAAATATATTGGTTAAGTAACTTTGTTTTTAAGTAAAAATTTGGGATGTACCGGGATTCCGGCTTTATTTGCGACTATAAAGTTATTCCGGTTCTGGCCGGAATTACAGCATTTCAGGCCGTAATGCCAGAACTTATATTTTACCTTTTTTTTTTAAAGACATGCGACACAAACTGTGTAAATTAAATCAAAAATCATTATCCTACTCGGCAATGAAGAACTATAGGTAAACCTAGGTAAAAAATAGAAAATTCTTAACAAATACAATGTAACTTTATTTGCAATTATGTAATCAATTGTGCAAGGATTTCTAGAAGTTTAGGAGCATTGTGGTGCATAAAAAAGCTGTTATCCGTTTTGGGCAACAACCTAGCTCTTTCTCATTAAAAATGTTACCTACCTCTAAAAATAGTCTCATTTTAAATGTTACTTAAATTTTAAATAATTAAAAAGTATAGGATAATACAGTAAATATTTTAATTTTAACCTAAATGGTAAAAATAAAAAACAAGGAAATAATTTTTAATATAAATATTATGCAGGTTAAAACTTTCATCAAATAAAATTATTAGAAAAAAATAAAAACAACATATTAGATTAAAATGAAACAAGAATGAAATTAATGAAATAGGTTATATATGTATTATAGGTTATAAATGTATATAATCTAGCCACAAAGCTAAGATACAGGTTTTCATATTCAATTTTGAGGTTAAAAATTACATAAATATAAATCTCGTTCCAGCCGGAATTTTTTAACAACTCCGGTAAATCTAGTTTCGGCCGGAATTCAAAATTTCCAATTCGGTACACCCCGTGTAAAACAATAATATTTGTTTATTAATAATAAAAAATAATACTTTCTTTACTGCACATTTTGCTGCATATTTCATTTGAAGAGAGTATATGAGTAAAAAGTTATATATAAACAAAGTTTCAAAGAGCGGAATACCGCAAAAAACAAATCCTTTACTCTATGAGTAATTGAAACTTACTTAAGTGCTTATGAATATGTAATGAATAATTTAAATGAAAATGTATATCTAATGTATAACTTAATACTTATTTAATTTTTATCTTATTCAAATCAATCGTCTATAACTTTTTGTTTTTTTTCTTCTGAGTTGCAATTTTTCGAAGTTAAACAGTCGTCATAAGTATTAATTGCTTTTTAAAAATTTATTTACTTTTAAAAATGTAATGAATTTATTTTAAAATTTACCGGTATATTTACCGAAAAATTTCGTTTTACAATTATAAAAAAATGTTGAATATTGAACAAGCTTTAAATTTTTTGTTTATAAATTAAAAAAAACATATTTTCTTTCGTTTTTTTAATATTCAGCCTTATAAATAAACTGCACCTAAAGATGTAAACTCATTGCAACAAAATATCATTAATTCTACCTATACCCAAGGAAATATGTCTGTTTGTAACATCCTTGCGCAAAAATTTTTGTTTTTCAAGTTAATATAAAAAGGGATTTTTATTTCTATTTTGATCCGTTTCTACTAACAGGGCCGGCGCATTAAGGTGTAAAGTAAGGGTGGATTGCCATTAGAATTTTTGCCGACCAAAAAAAAAAATTTACCGACTGACTGGTTTACGTCTGCCGACTGGTTTGTCCTAAAGAGTCAAATTTGCTGAGGGAAATTAACGAAAAATTCATCGATGAGTGAGGGTAGGGGTGGGGTAGGTGACACATCCCACCTTCGCACCAGCCTTGTCTACCAATCTATCAAATATTTATTTCTACCACTACATCTACTCACAATACTCCTCGCGTATTCAGTACAAAAGAAAGCTTAACGTGAGCAGTTTATTTTGAATAGTTTATCATATTATAATAAGGTTTTAAGGAACAGTTAAATTGTTCAGGTTTACTTATAATAAACTATTCAAAACTACTCTAAGTAGTTTTGAATAGTTTATTATAAGTAAAACATGTACAATTTTAACTGTTTGTTAAACCTTGTTACAACTAAACTAAAATCACATTTAAGTTACTAATGCAAAATATCAGCAACTTATTATCTCAATTTATACGCTTATTTTTTACCGCCTTTATGATTTTTAAACTTTACAGTTATAAATATTTTCAGATAACAAAATGATTAATGAATTATGATTGATTTTTCCAAATAAAAAACAAGTGGTCTCACTGCCTTAAAAAAAATATTCTACGCCATAATTAAGGATTCATTTTTATACGTGACCATTCTTAATTTAAAACAAAAAAAGCGTACGGGCTGGAGGCGTTGGATTGTCATTAACTCTAAAAAAATTTTTCTGTTGCACCTGGACTTAGTAATGGCAGTAAATGTTTTTAATACTGGTGTCACCTCAGAAAATCTTAGCAGGCATGAAATGATGCAATGGATAAACGACAGTCTGCAGACAAATTATACAAAAATAGAGGAGATGTGTGCAGGTGAGAAATATGCCGAAAACAAATAACATCCTTATACTGATACACACACACACACACACACACACACACACACACACACACACACACACACACACACACACACACACACGCACATATGCGCGTGTATATATATATATATATATATATATATATATATATATATATATATATATATATATATATATATATATATATATATATATATATATATATTATAAAATATACTTTATAAAAAGTATTTGAAATACAAATGCAAAATACTTTCAAGAAAAATTTAAAATACAAAATTTATTTAAAATACTCAATATCAAAGTATTTTTTAAAACATTTTCACTTTCAACAAAGCTGCAAGCAACTGCTATTAGAGTTTATAAAGCAAGATGACAATTAACAAACGACTTAAAAGATTGCAAGTTATATGAATTAGGAAAACACGATGAAAAGAGTAAATTCCAAAGAACTTATGTTTAAGAGAAAAAAAAAAAAAGATAAATAAGAAATTTTTAGCACTTAGGAATATTCACAGTAAAAGGGTGAGACTTAAATGACAAGTAACACAAGAATGAAATTTAGTAGATGACACAAGAGGTGCTAGCTCTTTAGAGCAGCACCCTTTAAAGTTTTTATAAAAAAAAGAAAGAGAAGCAACATTAAAATAAAGTTTAAAATAAATCTTGTTAAATATGTTCCTTTCGGAATAAGCATCAAAAGTTTCTTGCAAACTTGCTGAACAATGAGTTTACTTTTAACGCTTGTCCGGAGCATCAGCAATAGTTTTTCATAAATTGTTTGTATTTTCCAAATACTTTTAACTCCTCTGGTTAGATAAAATGAAACAATGTTCTCTCTCTCTCTCTCTCTCTCTTTATATATATATATATATATATATATATATATATATATATATATATATATATATATATATATATATATATATATATATATATATTTCTAAACCTATATATCTAAACCTATATATATATATCTAAACCTATATATATATATATCTAAACCTATCATTTACTAATATTCGTGGTCTTCGAAGTAACTTTTCTTCTGTTGAGTCTTATCTCTTGCAAAGTTCACCAGACCTACTTGCTCTTTGTGAGACTAATTTGAGTTCGGCTGTCCCATCTTGTGATCTTAGTGTTGATGGTTATCTTCCTTTAATTTGTAAAGACTCCAATAATCACATGCTTGGCCTGGGCATCTACATTCGTAAGAACTCACCCATTTGTCGTGAAACTAGGTTTGAATCTACAGACTATTCATTTATGTGCTTTCGTTTAGCACAACTTCACTCTATTGCCTTTCTCTTTGTTCTATATCGCTCTCCTTCATCCCAAGATTGCACTATTCTTGATGTTATTTCTGATCAAATTGACCAAGCCCTCTCTCTTTATCCATCGGCCAATATCGTCGTTGTTGGTGACTTTAATGCCCATCACACCGATTGGCTTGGCTCTAGTGTCAGTGACTCTGCTGGCGTTAAGGCCCTCAACTTTTGCATCTCTCAATCTCTAACTCAAATAGTCAACTTTTCAACTCGTTTTCCAGACAACCCTAATCATTTACCTTCTCTACTCGACTTATGTCTTGTTTTGGATCCTAGTCAGTGCTCAATTTCTCCACATTCACCCTTAGGTACTTCTGATCACGGTTTGATCTCTCTAAAACTATTATCAAATTCTTCTACTTCATCAGAATCCCCCTATCATCGTACCACATACAACTACCTTAAAGCTGACTGGGACTCTTTCCGTGATTTTCTTCGTGATGGCCCTTGGGTAGAAATCTTTCGTCTTCCTGCTGACAAATGTGCTTCTTACATAACTTCGTGGATTCAGGCTGGCATGGAATCTTTTATTCCCTCTCGACGATTCCAGGTCAAGCCTCACTCTTCTCCTTGGTTTTCCTCACATTACGCTGCAGCAATTTCTAATCGAAACCGTTACTTCCATATCTATCAGCAAAACAATTCTCCAGAAAACAGACATCTGTTCACTATTGCCAGAAACCATTGTAAAAAGGTTTTGTCTGATGCCAAAGCTCGCTATTCCCAGGTCATTAAATCTCGTATCTCATCACAAAAATTAGGCTCTCGAGACTTCTGGAGAATCTTTAACAGTATCAATAATAAGGGCAAATCTGTTATTCCTTCTCTCTTGTATGGTTCAGACTTTGTCACCTCACCTAAAGACAAAGCTGAATTGTTTGCTAAGAACTTTTCATCAATATCATCTCTTGATTCCACTAGTTGTGTTTTACCTGACATAGCCGTCAAACAGGTTGATCCCTTGCTTGACATTCGCATCACTTCAGCTTCTGTATCTAAAGTAATTTCCTGCTTAGACTCTTCAACAGCTTGTGGTCCTGACAACATTCCTGTTGTAGTCTTGCAGAGGTGTTCTCCGGAGCTTTCATCCATACTTTCTAAACTATTTAACAAGTGCTTATCAGAGTCTTGTTTTCCATCATGCTGGAAAGCAGCATCTGTTATCTCTATTTTCAAAAATTCCGGAGAGCGATCTGATTCATCTAATTACCGTCCCATTAGTCTTCTTCCTGTCATAAGCAAGGTTTTTGAATCTTTAATCAACAAACACTTAATCTCTCATCTTGAATCAAATAACTTACTTTCTGATCATCAATATGGATTTCGGTCTTCTCGTTCTACAGCTGATGTGCTAACAGTAATAACCGATAGGTTTTACCGTGCATTAGATAGAGGTGGAGAGGTTAAGGCTATCGCACTTGACATTTCTAAAGCTTTTGATTAAGTTTGGCATGCTGGTCTTCTCCATAAGCTTTCTTCTTATGGTGTAGCTGGTAACGTCTTTAACGTCTCTAACGTCTTCTAGGATTAACTCTTACTTCTGATCTTTCTTTTAAACCGTATATCAAATCCATTGCAAAATTAGCATCTGCTAAGGTTGCATCTCTTTATCGAGCTCGACACTTTCTTACTCCAGATTCTATTCTCTATCTCTATAAATCTCAAATCCGTCCCTGTATGGAATACTGTTGCCACATCTGGGGCGGATCTTCTAATGATGCTCTTTCTCTTTTAGACAAGGTGCAAAAACGAATTGTAAACATAGTTGGACCTGCTCTGGCAGCCAATCTCCAACCTTTGTCACATCGTCGTAATGTTGCTTCTCTTTCTCTTTTCTACAAATACTATAATGGGCACTGCTCTAAAGAGCTAGCGTCCCTTGTGCCATCTACTAAAATTCATTCTCGTGTTACTCGCCATTCAATTAAGTCTCATCCTTTTTCTGTGACTGTTCCTAAGTGCTTCAAAAACTCTTATTCTTCTAGTTTTTTTCCTCGAACATCAGTTCTTTGGAATTCGCTTCCTTCATCTTGCTTTCCTGATTCATATAATTTGCAATCTTTTAAGTCATCAGTCAATCGTTATCTTGCTCTACAGATTTAGTCTTTTCTCTTCCAGTAACTTCCAACTCTTATAGTGGTTGCTTGCAGCCTTGTTGGAAGTGAAGATTAAAACGATCTTCCGTGAAGTTAAAAAAAAAAAAAAAAAAAAATTCCAGATGAACTGAACAGAAAAATCTTGAGCATGGTGACATAAATTGTAAAAATGTTTGCAGTTTTTATACTGCCTTGCACAGCCATCAGAAAAATAATGAATTTTTGTAATTGCGAGGCAAAGATGAGTTTTTATATGATTAATGGTTTTATGCATAACTTCATTGATAAATCCAACATCATGACTCAAATCATCTGAAATTACACAAGAAGAAGATATTTTCAATTTCACTTTCTTGTAGTAGATGACAACCGGATGAAGAGAACATTGACTCTTGCTCCAATGGTAACTCTGCATCTCGCCTTGTACTACAAAAGTGTAATTCTCTGCAAAATCTGCCAGTATAATAGCCTCACCAATACTAATTGTTTCATTGAGATGCTTTAGATAGCTAGATTGTGATTTTGCTATAAATGAAAGAAAAGTAATTTTATCAAGTTTCTCACACAGGAGCTCTATGAATTCATTTAATGGAAGTTGTATTGTTAATAGTTCAGTTCTATCTGTCATTGTCCACTGTTTGAAATCCACTGACCATTCATTTTCGTCACTGTCATATTGCTCTTTTGGATCATAATTTTGTGTGAGATACTGCTGGAAATACATTTGGGCAGCTTGTATGCCAGGACAACTATTGCATCGGTGAATCATGCAAACTTTTGATTTTCTGCTGCAGACAATCTTTTCAATGATTTCATGGTAAGATGTTTCAAGGTCTACAGCACTCAACATTAATTTAACATTTTGGTGTATTGTACACACACAAACAGAATGTGTACCTTTTGGACCAGCAAGGATGCACCATTTAGGTCTAAGACTGCAAAATTTAGAAAATCCAATTTTATGGTCTGGGTACGTTATCTTATATGCCACATAGAGCTCCTTTAGATTACACATAATCATTTTTTTTGACATGTATTTTTTTCCCCAACACTTACAGTCTTTTTTACCTGGCATTTGCCTTGAATACTCATCGATACAGTAAAAAAGCTTTACAAGTTCTATGACATCTTTACTGATTCGATGTGGTTCAACCACATTGGGGTATGCAATGACGCCTTTTTGGTCATGTAAAAGCTTTGCATTTTGAATTTTGTGTTTGGAAACTGAAAACTCTTTTGCTGCTTTTCTGATAGACCAAGATTTCGGTGTCAATGTCAAAATTTGAAGTTGCTGCCTTCTGTTAGAAACTTTAAGTTTTTCTTTCATGCATTCAACAAGAAAGTCTAGATCGCCAGCTTTGGTTTCAACTTCTTTTAGAACTTCATAATTGTTAGGTGCAACAAGATCGGATTCGATGACATCCAGAGCAGTTGCAAGTTTCTTAATAACTGTTTCTTCAACTTGCTTTATCTTTCTCTTTCCAAGTAAGGCTTGTTAGAGGTTTTTGGTAAATGAACTTTTAGTGGAGACATTTCAAGTTCACACAAAGTACTGTTGAGCAATAATC